GAACTAGCAGTTCATTGAATACCAATTGTCAAGACTTTTAAAAATATTTTAAATTTTAGGGGACCTATCTTACGTAATTCATATTCTTTGTTTTACTCAAAATTGGAAGCCTGGGAATGCCTCGGATGACCTCTTCTGTGTTTAGGAATCACCCCTTATGTGATAGACAAATAAACCTAATGTACACTTCCATCGGTGTCAATACAAGCACTTTACATGATGTGTGAGTTTATGAATAATTTCTTATGTGGTGGAGAAATAGATGCGATGTACAGTCTTAGTGGTGTCAAAATCAACCCTACACAAAGTGCTTCGCTGGCTAATCAAGCCTTACGTGACGAAGAAAGAGACCTAATGTACAGTCTTAGTGGTGTCAAAATCAACCCTTTACAAAGTGCTTCGCTGCTAATCAAGCCTTACGTGACGAAGAAAGAGGCCTAATGTACAGTCTTAGTGGTGTTAAAATCAACCCTTCACAAAGTGCTTCGCTGGCTAATCAAGCCTTACGTGACGAAGAAAGAGACATAATGTACAGTCTTAGTGGTGTTAAAATCAACCCTTCACAAAGTGCTTCGCTGGCTAATCAAGCCTTACGTGACGAAGAAAGAGACCTAATGTACAGTCTTAGTGGTGTCAGAACAATCCCTAATTACATTATTTGTGCTGATCGAAATATCATCATAAACATTAGTTGTATTGATAAAAACAGTCGTCATACGCATTCTGTATTGTGATAAACCAGTATGTATGTACAACCTTAGTGGTGGAGAAACAGTTCCCATATCTAACTTGGCTTTTCGGGTTGTATAAAAATGCACTGAGAAAAATAAATGTATTTTAAAAACAGGAAATTGCGGATGAAAAAGTCTACATCTAATTTATAATATTTCTAAATTGTTTTAATGTATCTGTAAAAGATCCGAGTAGAAAGGCTGAATATTGCTAACTGGAAGACTTCTTAAGTCATGGTGGTTGTTAATTATTGGGATTTGTTTGTTGTCCAGATGCACAAAATATAATCTTTTTTGGAAGATAAATTTAAAATATGTACTTACGAGGTTTCGTTATCTTAATATGTAAGTGGTTTATACTCGAGAAGAAAATTTTAATACAAGTTGTTGTTGTTTTTCTTTTCGCATTGAATGCTCAACAGGTGACGCCATTGCAATGCATAGCAGAGGCAACGTCTGCCACAAAAAATTCATATATCATGTATCATGCTTTCAAATGTTTGGGCTAAGAATTCTTTACAAATTTTACAGTGCTACATCTAGTTGGAGCAAACTTACTTTTAAGATAAATGTACATACATAAGTAAAACGAGACAAAATATATAAACAATATAATAAAACAGCAACTACATTTGCTATAACAAATCATTCAAACTACTCCTTGCTACAGCGTTTCTATATAACCTCAAATGTACCTCACTGCTGTCACTACATCTAGAAGCCCTTTTCTTTTATTATACTCAGACAAGTCCAGAAACTGGTTTAACTAACACTGTAGCAGTGCGACTACTAACGTCAAACCTTTATATCAGTAAATGAACTTCGTGGATAAATAGCTAATGCTAAGAACTGACTGCTATTGGGATAACAATTTTTATACTGGAAAACACGGGTAACACGTGCAAAACAAAGGTAACATTCCTAGCTGCAATCACAGCACTGTCACATTCACTTTAAAACATGCGTCATTGAAAGCATTCGTGCAAACTGTAAAACTCTACAAGAGCCGTAACTATGAAAACGTAAGCCAGAAAATTACGAAAGGAAGTTCTAGTCCTTTAAACTGATTCGATATTACGCTTCATTCTAATTATTATATATCTTCTTTTTTTTGTGGCATTCACAGAAAAAGGTAAAACAAAGCCTTACATTTAAAACGCATTACTTTAACAGAATAAGAAGGTTTACAGTTAAACTCGGGGATAAAGTTTTTGTTACCTAACAACTCTGGAAATCGCTTTAAAGAATATTAATTTATGTGCTAACTGATTCCCCTACTGGTAAAGCTAAAAACTAAATATTATATATGCGATTCACAGCGGAACGCTGAAATTCTAATGATATTCAAACCAAGGTCCTTGCTTCAAATGAAACATAATTATCCTAATGAGAGATATTAAACTTTCCATTATTAACTGACACTATATAGAGGCTTACATTTCTACTTGTCAATATTATCTAACATTTGTTTTCAGCAAACATCAAGAGACGTGCTAAAACACAGGCAAACATTTCTTTTACAGGCAAAACATAGCACTACCAGCTCATCCAAGGTCAGGTCAAGGTCAAGAAAGATTGGCTTACTGTGTGGACAGAGTGTGGTCAAAGTCAGGAAATTTGCGGGGCCGTCCCCGACTCAAGTGTCGTCGCTTTACAAACTCACGGTCGTCCACCACCCAGAAAGAACCGAAGTCATCCTCACAACGGACAAAGCACTTGTGGAGCGACAGATTGGTGCGAATTGCATTCTGTGCAGAGATGGAGAGGATTTGTAGGAAAGGGAACAGAGGAAAGACGGATACAAGAGGAAAAAAGCAGTACAATATATATATGGTCAGAGTTAGAGATACATGCATATCACGTCGAGGCAAAAATCGCATAGCAACAATACGGGTAGTGCAACGAATTAACACAACAAACAGGATCGAGAAACAAAATTACAAATATAAAACAAAAATATGAGAAAAGGCATGTATGCAGGATCAAGGACCCAGCAAAAACAAGGCCAGTTGAGGATTGGATTTGTAAACATTAATTGAAGGAGGAGAAGGGAAAGTATGGGAAGGATGGGATGAGAGAAAGAAAGAGAGAAAAAATGACCATTACACAGTGCACGATGAAACACATCAAACACGTATAATATTTAAAAAAAACATACCCAGCAATACGTTCCTGTATACGTTGTGGCCGCCGTTTGTAGAATTCTAGTTCATCCACTGTCCACACCGCCCCTTTTACGTTCTCGACACGCATAAAACATTTGTGAAGGCTTAGGTTGTGACGCACTGCATTCTACCAAAACAACGGAGAGATAGCTTTTCAAGAATCTAAAGCCAGGTGAAGTCCAATATATCTCGGTAGGTGGAGGAGAGGAACGGTAAAAGTAATACGTTCCCTGGCCTTTGTATACGTTACTAAGAATACTGACTTTTGTAAAAAATATACAAAACCTACACGTTCTAACGGAATACTCTAAAGCTTCAGTTTTTATGCAAGAGGGAAACAACTTCACATGAAAAAATCGCACATTTCTCATAACACTCTTTTGTGTGTTGCACTAATCGTTCTCCCTAAATGTTGAGAGAATTTACACCATAAAGTTTAAATCTAATCCAATGAAAGTCACATTCTATTTAAGATTTAGTATAAGAATCTTTATTTATTGATAATATATCTCACAATTAAGAAACAGACTGAGCTATAAGAGATAACATTTAATCAGAAAGAAACATGTTAACCGCTGTTAAGAGATAAATTCAACTTGGGCTGTCATTTGTATACAAACATACAAAAACACAACAAACAATACAATTCAATTTACGTCAAAGATTAAATTTCAAATAAATAATTTTTTCCATAATTCGACAATATTTTCTTTGGTCATCTTATACCTGAAGCTGTAATAATAAAACATTCTTGTCCCGCAGTTAATTAAAATACATAAAGTTTTGTGCAGTTAAATAAGTTGAATGTTAAATGTTTTACATTTTGTTTTTAAGATTTAATTGATAAAAAGACTTAAACGATTCAAAACATATACAACATTATCAATTAACGATACTTACTTCTAAATCAGATAAAAATAACTGAAATTACTTTACATTTGGTCAGACATAATTTATAAGGTTCAAGTCTCTTCATACGACCTCTAGAATGCTTTTCTTATGAAACAATTTTATCGTTTAAATAAAATAAATAATTTCTTTATATTCTATATCACGTAATAAGTGCCTAATTATAGCATCAACATAACTTCTTTTGAAGATATTTCAAAATGGAGGTAAACAGTAAACTATAATTTCCATTATTCAACTAGTAAAACTTAAATCAATTAAGACAACATTTCGGAGTTTCTAATTAACTGCAAACTCAAGAAGTGGTTAAACAAAATCAAACATTAGAAATCACGACATCTTTCAGCAAGAATAGTGCAACAAGGTAAATTTAATTCTCGATGTCATATTTTGTAGTTTACTATGTTGTTGTTCATGACTTCAATGGGGAATAGTTAAATATAATTTTTACCAAAATCCCAGCCGGTTTCAGCAAAATTTGAGTGAAATACTCAACTAAATATCTACAACTAATATTTGTTGTTTTTTTTTTGTAATATTTAAACTTTTTCATCTATTGCTACTAAACTATAAGAAATCTGAACTACAAGACGAACGACCTTACCTTCCAGGTTGCCGAGTTTTTCCTGAAATAACAGAATGTATTCTGGAACCAAGTGTATATTTCGTTGAGTGTCAGTTGCTTGTCCGGAGATTCGATGATAGCCTGCAACACAAAGCATATTTACTATAGTTAATCCAGTTTGGTGAACTGGAAAGCACTTTAATATTAATAACGAAAATTCCAAAATATTTCATTTTCGACCTTATGATGATTATTTTTATGTCAAAAATGTGTTTTATTTTTTACTTTAAGACTATTTTTAAAGAGAATTTAAAAAAATTGCAAAAAAGAAATGAAATATTTCGAAAAATATAGTATACATATATGTATATCTTTATAAGTTTGTGGGTGAGGAAGACATGTTGTATCTTACCTGCCTAATCAATGATGCATAAGTGAAAGGAGGTCTAACTTCCGCCATCTTGTAAAACTCTCTATTTCTCTGAATTTCTGGAGAAAATAGTGATTTTATTAATTTTTTTACAAAATTAACCCCCAAAGCACTTTTTCTAGTATTTATTCTACTTCTATAAAAGAACCTAATATTTATTATACTGAATGGTCTAAAAATTAACTGTCCATGCCTATGTAGCGGGTTAAACATTTCTACAGAGGTGGATTGCATTATATTAAAGTGATTTTAGAGGATCACTACGCCGTTACAGTCCCTGTCGCCACGTTCAGCAGTCATGCTCTATTTGACGACCATGACTCTTGGTAATAGCCTTGCAACGAATTTTTATATTGCAAAAGAGCTTCGTTGTAAGGCTTTCATATCCAAAGCGCTCCACCCCACCCTGCTGGCTTTAAATAATCCATCTACTGTATATGGACGCTGGTTTCCTAACGATCATTTCAACAGTCCATCAAATATAATCTCTTCGCTGTGCGTCTGCCGACTTGAGCTGTATATCTTTGTATGGAACAGCATGAATACTCGTTTCAATCTCCTGCTGTTTGAGGTACGAGATGATTGAACCAATCCTGTTGCTTACGGCACGTGGGCGACTCTTGCCACTGACATTTCAGTTCGTTCACTCTTACCTATTAGAAAACGTATTGCATGTCTGTTTCTCGATGGTTCTGGTTTACGAAGTTTATCTATATTCCTTTGTGTTTCAATGTCATTAAGTAAGAGGAGTATTTCCGCCTTGGATATTCTAAATCCCTGATCTTTACACATCTCTATGATCGGAATGTATGAATATTTTCGTCAGAAATGGCTATTATACATCCTTTCCAAAATCGTCCAGTTTTGGTAAAATCACGCCACCTCGAAACAATGTCAAAATGTAGTTACAATAGATGTTGTTCTTCCGTGACTTTATATTGACAGTAATTATCACGTGACTTACTGATTTACTTATTCAAAATTGTTTTAACATAACGTACTCAACCATATATATATTAGTCTGAATAGCGTTGTTGGGTTAATATAATTTTCTAAAACAATTATTCGTGAGTCATAACTTGAGGAAGTTAAATATCCATTTTGTTAACACTAATGTGTCAACTGTTATTTATGAAAAAAAGGTAATTCTGCGTAAGTAATCAAACCTTTCAGTTATTAATTAAACATACTTAACAATTAATACAGTAAAGATCTTGAGGTGTATTATTACTTTAGAAACAATACAGCGACATTCATCAAATATAATTATTATTTAACCAAATTAAGACAAAACAACAAAAACAATACAAAGATAATCCTAAAGAACATTATGGCAGACTGTTAATATCTAAATTAACAACACTAATATTAACTACAGTTTCTTACTTACACTAATAATAAATCAGCGTGTAGAAATGTTATAGCAGTTGCTCCAAAACTGGGATCCACGAGAGGGTCTCAGCACACGGAGAAATATTCTGTTTGAAACCTTCCTAACTTGTTTGTTTTTGGAATTTCGCGCAAAGCTACTCCAAACCTATCTGCAATAGCCGTCCCTAATTTAGAAGTGATGGGCTAGAGGGAAGGCAGCTAGTCAACACCACTTCTTGTCAACTCATGGGTTACTCTGATCGAATAGTGGGATTTGACCAAAACTCTTATAACGCACCTACGGCCCTAAAGTACGGAACGTGATTTTATTTTCTGGAGCACGCTATCCACTGGATCGCCCTCTATCCCATAAATTCGAGACCAATCAATCATCACCATGCATTTTAAGTTCAAAACATGCTGGGTTCCTTTTAATGTAGGTATTCCAGAACGCCAAAAAGTTTGAAGGTAGAACAAACGCATATAAAATTTTGTGTGATCACCCTCACTTGATATCATTGCCTGTATCCAATGAGTTCCCCGGTGGGACAGCGGTAAGTCTACGGACTTGCAACGCTAAAATCCGGGGTTCAATTCCTCCGCAGTGGACACGATAGTCCAATGTGGCTTTGCTCTAAAACTAACACACATGAACCCAGTGAGGAAAGATTTATTCAGGCTTTAGAACATATTTAGTGAGAATTGAATTTCAGGCGTCTTCAAGTGCTGTCCAGAGTTCCTTTCATAATTTGATTTCGGTTGCATTTACTGTTTTTTTCTCGACCAAGATAGTCCCACACACACATTCAACAGTATTGAAGTCTAGGCTTTGCAGAGGCTACACTAACCATGCAAAAGTTCCATCTGCTTATCCAGAGCTCCATTAATATGATAGAAATCATCAACTCCAGCTGTAGTTAAACATTTAGATACTACCTCTACTATGTTTAACTTTAATCTCTCACCACTTTTGCGATGAACGCAATACTGTCTAGTAGTTCCAAAAATCTCAAATTTTGACTCATCCAACCACAGTACTCATATACACATAAAAGTTGTCTAATCGTTTTGGTTTTGTTTTTTGTAAACTCATATCTCTTCTGTTTGTTGCCTTTTCAGAATAAACGTTTTCCAGTTCCTCTTTTCGCCGCATTGTGGAAGGGTAAACTTTAAAAGCAGTGGTTTCTTGAAGTTCTGCAGCAAGGCAACTGCTAGATTTACGTAAACCTAAAGTATTTAACATCTGATCTGGAAAGTTTCGGTAGTCTTCCAGACCTGTTCTTGTCACAAGTGATACCAGCTTCATTCTATCTTTTGACGTTTTTAACTCCAGATTTTCAAATGTCCACCTTTCGAAAGCGCTCTGGTTATAGTGTTTTTATTCATTTCCATCAAGACTTCTTGAACCTACGTGTTTTTCTATCATGAATGCTATGTTTTACTTCATCTTGGAATTATATCTCGTACTTGAAAGTTGAACAGTAACGTTAGTCACAGACTAAAGAAAGTTTTATCTTCTTTTTATAAAAGGAACAATAATTATAATGACCAAGGAAAATATTTTTTTGGGATTTATACAGTAAAAATTATAAATGTCTGGAATGCTCTCTGATGTCGTAAATCAGTATAACAGCCATTGCATTATAACATCTAAAAGCTACATGCCCCAGCTTTCAAAAACATAACTAGTGTCAGTTCATACATTCTTACATTTCTTTATAGAATTAATATAATTAAAACATATGATTTGGAAGGTATTTAAATAAATAAGTGCTATCGATAAACATTATTACTATATTTCATCCTTGGTATTTTTGTACAGGAATATAATTGGTGGTATGTAATTTATTCACAGAAGTGTTTATGATGGAGCATAAGTTCTCTACAATACTTTGGATTAATGATTTTTGAAACCTAACAAACATAACTGGCGAAACCTAGAACTTAAAACTGATGACTTACCGTCATTTATGTCTAGATTAGCTCTCTCGGCTACTCTTCTCCGCACCGGAGACTCTGGAATATTGAGTCCTAGTACAAAACAGTATCGTAGGTTACTCATGAAGATAATGCTTACTACAAATATATATTTATGTAGGTGATGAACAGAAAAATTAAAATCACATGTCAAACAAAGAAAGACACACACGAATAGCGTGATTATAAGTACAATACAGGTATCTTAATAATAATAAAAAAATAGTTATTTCCTCGATACATGACATCTTAAAGTATTAAATTTCAAACTACAAATTAAGAATGTCAGAAAGAAGTTATAATATGAAGGCAACAACAGGTAGATTCGATTATAATACCTAATACCTTTAAAAGTTCAGTTTTATGACACGCCCACAAGAAATAAATCTAGACATTTACTTTGTTGAGTACTCCAGTATATGTAGTGTAATGTGCTGCTTACAGGAAAACAACAACTTAGAAATAATTTTTCTGGTGCGAAATCAAAACGTTAGTCATGTAGAGATTCGATCCTCTGATCTCTAGTATTCATATAACTGTTAATTGGGGTGGCGTGGGGGTCATTTGACAAATCCCCAAAGTTTTAAGAAAAACAAGTTAACAGAGAAGCTCAACGCACTTTGTGTTGTAGCTCCATGTGGTGACGATTAGTGCGTTTAGAAATAAATATCCCCCTTTATTTTTCTGAAATTTTCACCTTTTGAAAAATAACAAACTCTCCATTTTGTAGGAGTTCGTTGAATTTCGCACAAAGCTACTCGAGGGCTATCTACGTTAGTTGTCCCTAATTTTAATGTGATAGACTTCAGGGAAGGCACTAGACAACAGCACCCACCAAAAACTCTTGGTTACTCTTTACAAACGAAAAGTGGGATTAACCGACACTTTATAACGCCCCAATGGCTGAAAAGACGAATATGATCGGTCACAGGTTTCGACGCAAGATTAGCAAATTGCGAGTCAAGCGCCCTAACCACCTTTTAGGCTTTTGTAGGAGTTAAGATGGGGATGTAGTAATGTATGGAGTTAGATATACACGACTGTTTCGTTTATATTTAATACGAGAGTTATGATTTACATAGCTATAAAGCGTCAAATTTATATTTTAAAAAGCTGTAATCTATCGCAGGTTTGATTACGCAACTGTTTATGAATCATTTGTTGCGTAGTTCAATTGTTGTGAATGGATGTCATGTTACTCAAACCTTCTGAATTTTTTTCGTTGATATGAGTGACTAGTGTTACATCGTAATGTCTCGTAGTCTTTAAAAAGTTCTAAGCCTCAGTCGCGCAACATGTATACATATAGGCGACCAAGTTAGTGAAAGTGACAGTAAAAAGTGAAGTTAGACTGTGTGTCAGTTTGGCCATAACAGACGATTTCTAATGTGAGCATAAGACAAAGTGGAAAGGGACTTACAGAATAGAGGACTGGAAGGGAGTGCTGCACCAGATGTAACAAGGCAGTTCTACCACGGAAGTTAACCAAATCATAGTACCAACAAAATACCAGACTCGATTGCGGGAGGACACCTAGGAACAAAGAAGATGGCAGACAGAATCACCAACAACTTCTGTTGGCAAGGAGTCATTGGAGATATGATAATATTCTGCAGATCATGTGACATATGCAAAACGATAATACCTAGAGGGAAGATAGCCAAGATGCCATTGGGTGAGATGCCTCTCATTGAAGAGCCATTCAGCAGAGTAGCTGTGGACTTGATTGGACACTATCACCTGTATCTGATAAGGACAACGATAAAGGATAGACAACGTGACTGGAACAGGTACCAGCAGGCAGTATTATTTGTTTAACAAATAGTCCCAGAAGCAAGTACAGGATTTTCACCCTTCGAGTTGATGTACGGAAGAACAGTATGTGGTTCATTGCAGATACTGAATCAGCTGTGAACAGGAGAAAAAGAGCCAGAAGTGAGGAACACATACCAGTACGTGTTAGACCTAAGAAACCGACTGCAGTAGACCTGCCAACTCACTCGAGAGAGCTTGTATGCAGCTCAAGGCAGTAAGAAGCACTTTTATGACAAGAAGGCCAAAGATCGACGTTTCAAGGTCAGACAGATGGTCTTGGTTCTGCTACTTACAGTTATCAACACTCTCACCCTGCAGTAGAAAGGATCATTTGAAGTGCAGGATGTGATCAACAGAATGGACTATAAAGTGAAAGTGAATGGGAAGACCAAGATCTACCTCGCCAATCTGTTGGAGATGTACTTTGAGAGGGAAGAAGATCTAATGGATGCAGCTATTGAGGCACAGATCGACATGGCAGGTGTAGCTGTCATAGATGCAGAACCAGAAGACAGTGACTTTGTCATAAAAGATGAAGACCCGCCAGAACATAAGACCACTGGATGGAGATGAAACATACAAAGACGTAAACATCAGTGAAGAATGACTGGCAAGCAGAAGAAAGCGTTACAAGATCTACTGTACTAGTATGCAGATGTCTTTACAGATAGACCAGACAAGATCAAGACCACAACCAAGGATCCAATCAAGGTGAAGCCCTACCAGATGCCCTATGTAATGAGAGATCTGATCAAGCATAAATTCGAAGTAATGTTCGTAGCTGGAATCATCAAGCCTTCGAGTTCAGCCTACTGTTCATTAGTAATAATCGTGAAGAAGAGGGATGGCTTAAATTACTTTTTCATAGGCTTCTGGAAACTGAACCTCGTGACGAAGTTCGACACCGAACCTATGAGCAACCCAGGGGCCAAGTTCGTTTCTAAGATCGATCTCAGTAAAGATTATTGGCAGATCCCAATGGAGACAGGATCTAAAGAGAAGATGGCCTTTGTGGCACCAAATGGATGTTACCAGTTTAACAGGATGCTGTTTGGGTTAGTCAATGCAGCAGCATTCAACCAAATGATGAGGAAGATGTTGCATAAAACCACCAATATCGAGCATTATGTGGACAACATTCTAACCTACGTAGCTAGACGGGAAGACCACTTGAATAAACTTAGAGAGCTGTTCAGGTGAGCGAGGGTAGCAGTTCTGATCATCTAAGTGCTACATCAGTTATTCTGTACTGTACTGGACTTTGACACTAAGTGGGCGACTGACAGATAGCCATGGAAAATGAGAAGCTAACAGACATACAAGATACACCAGCTCCAATGACCAAGCAGCAAGTCAGATACTTCATAGGATTAGTGGAATACTATAGAAAGTTTATCCAAAACTATGCTGAAGTTGCTGCACCACTGACTTACCTGACCAAGAAAGGCCTACCCAACAAAGTGAAGTGAGAACAACCACAGCAGATGGCATTCCAGAAATTGAAAAACATGTTAGGAAGTTTACCAATCCTTAGAATGCCAGACTTCAAGAAACTTTTCATGATTCAAGCCACTGCTTCAGACTGTTTCCAGTATTTTTTAGGAATAAACTGTTGAATAGTGAGAAGATCTACTTTGTGATCAAACAAGAGTGTGTGACCATCATACTTGGCATCCAGATGGAACATCAGTCCCTTGGAAAATCGACAGTGCAAGGATCATGAGGTGGGCATTGTACCTCCATAACTATTGATTCTGCATTGAGGTCATCAAGGAGACTGCAAATGTTGGTGCAGACTGTATAAGTAGAATTTTTGCATGAACTGAGAACAGTCTTTGTATACAGAAAAAAATTGTGGGCTTCTTGTTAGATATACACAGCTGTTTCATTTAAATGTAATACGAGAGTTATGATTTACATAGTTATAAAGCACAAGTGTTAAATTTAGTGTTTTTAGAAGTTATAATTTATTGCAGGTTTGATTACATAATTGTTTACAAATCATTTGTTGTTTTGTTCAATTGTTGTGAATTGGCGTCATGTTACTCGAACCTTTTGAATTTTTCTCATTGCTATGAAGTTAATATTGTTTCCTCATAAAGTCTCGTAAAGTTCTAGGCCTCAGTTGAGCAATATATATTGGCAACCAAGTTAGTACAAGTAAGTAATTTAGGGAAAGTGAAAAAGTAAAGCCAGAGTACGTGATTGTGAGTTTAGCCATAAAGAGCATTTAGTTGCGATTTCTAAAGTGAAAGTATCACAGCTTGTATTGTAATAACAGAGATATAGAATAATATATTGTCTTGTGAAAGTATGTTCTAAAGTAATTGATCGAGCCAGTGTGAACTTTGAAGAAAATGAGACAATTATTTAAAGCTCTGGATACAACTGTGGTAACCAACAGTTATAGTGGTGATTTAAAAGTGAGTATCACAGCCTTGTATTGTAATAACAGAGTATAAGTGAATAATTTGTCTTGTCAAAGGGTATTCTAAAGTAACTGAACGAACCTGTGTGGACTTTGACGAAAAATAGGCAATTATTTAAGGCTCTGGATACCACTGTGATAGTCAATAGAGTAACGAAATGTTTTGTACATACATTTGACTTGTTTTAAATATATTAATTTAAAACAAGTGGATTGTGTGCTGTCCATTCATTGTTGAAATTTATCACCAACAAGTCACAGACACCTACTGTAAAGAATTCGGCCCTATTAAACATGACATATTGTACCATAATATCTTTTATTAAATAATGTTCGACCTTACCACATTTAATTCTTCGCCATTTTTATGTATGTGCAACTACTTATCAAAGTTTATAGACTATCCCACAATTTTAACGGCCTTTCATGGTCTAAGTCTGTTTCAGTTAAACTTTGACGTGAATTTTGATTTTTTCTTTGAAAATAGGTTTATATTATAAAGTTAAAGTAATTATGAAATATAAATCAAAAATCTCACAGATCTTTTCCAATCAAACAAGCAATTTCAACGGAAGATTTTGTTGATCTTTTAAAAATTAATGGTTTTGCACCATTTCGCTGATAACTCTACAACGTAAATACTTCTTTTGATAAATGTAATGAGCAAAACAAGAAAACTTTATTCATACTGGACGAGCATTACTGTAGACGCGCTTGTATTAATAACGGATTTGCACACTCATCGAACCTTAATCCTGCATCTAAGAAAAAAAAGAAGCCATTTCTAACATATGATAAATTGTAGTGGTAATATATATATAATTAATAATTACAGAACAATGCATACATGTAAGCATATATATTCACCGATTAATACTGAAGGAGACTGAGATATACTGATTGAATTTGACTACAAAACACAGTATGTTCAATATAGGAAGCTAAGATGTTCTTAGACAGTGACATCTCATGAGCAGATAGTTAAAGAAACACTATATAAATAAGTATAATTTGTTTTATTATTTAGCTTTGAGCGAACGGTATTCATACCATACCAAAGAATTTACTAATTATCTGACGCTTTTCTTCCTTTTTTAAATTCTGTAACAAATGAATCTATAAATACAAAACAAATCATAAACATCACTTTAAGGAATCAATAATTTACAGATTCATAGACTCGATATCTCTGTAGAAATCAGAATATCAATTTAATATTGTCCCCAGGAGATCCCCTTGAGATAGGCTAGTCAATTAATTACAAACACATTGATATATGAAGCTTGATTAGGATTAAAGCTGAATTGTTTTGCGAATTAGGTTTTTGTCTAAATTTCAAGGACAACTTATAGCATTTCATCTCATTTCGATCTCAATATACAAAACACCGAGTGTTCTTTGTAACGTCTATCTGGTTACCTGCAAAATATGCTTGGAAATCTAACTCAGTATGAAATTGTAATATAAGTATCCTTAAAAGAATGAAAAACAACCATGTGTGAGTATGTCTCAATACCGTGTAAAAAAAGATAAAAATTACTTTTGTACCACTAAATACCCACAAAACCTGGAAAGAAACCACGATTTTCTCATCTGAAACTTCCATATCATGAAACAAAAGCTACTTGCAGGATGAATGGTTTTGAATTCAGATACTTGGATAAGGAACCCTAACCGGTAAGAAGTATCATTTCTACCTTTTTCTTTATCTCGCATTTAGTTTCCAAACACAGTTAACAGTTATTAATTATTAATTATTAATTATAGTGAGTAAAATTTACAAATTCCATATCATGTTTAAGGATTTCCGCATTAAAAGATACAAAATGGAAACGTTTTCTGATATATATATATATCTAAACAGCGAGTTCGTTGATTCTGGTATGCAGCCATACAGATGCATAAATGATTGTATATGCTTTTATAGCGTACTAAACGAAAAACTAGCAACACTAGCATGGTTAAAATCTCATACTGTCGACATTAATTGAAAGAGCTAAGGTAATTTATTTAATCAATTACGTAATTTTTCACTGTAGAAGGTTCTTGATTTATTAAATAAAACTCTTCAACTCAGTCGGTCTATATCCGTTGTCAGCGTTTCATAGGACGTGCCTCGAGTTGATCTAAAACCTGAAAATGACAGAATAGTTATTTTATTAAGCTTGGCGATGCACGTCATTTGGTAAAGTCTTCTTACCTCCTTTGTCGTTGGTCCATCGGCCTCCCGAGCCAGCGCTAATCCCGGGGGTGTGATGTAAGGATTGAGAGAGGGGTGGGATTAGCCTGGGAGGAATGGCCATGTGAGGTGTGCTTTGAGCTATCGATGTCATGGCAACAGAAAAAAGGTTCCCTGAAGTCGGAAGGGTAATGGGCGTAATGGACAAGTGTGGCGACGTGGGCAATGGTTTGGTCACTGATGTTAATAACTGAAAGAATAGAACGAGGAATTAACTAAAATGTAGCGAAATTAATAATTATCAAAACACATCAACACTAATTTCTACATAAACATAAAGATTACGAAGAACCAAAAGTATCCATTATTTTTTGTGAAAAAATAAAAATGTTTTGTTTGTTCCAGAATTTTCTCGCAAAGCTACACAGAGAGCTACTATAATTTCCAACTGTAGCTAGGCCGCACCCACCGCCAAATCCTTATCTATTCTTGCCTGACTGAAAAGAGGGATTTGACCATCACTCTTAAAGCCATAACCCAAAGTGCGAAGCGCATTTTTACTGCAACGGGCCGCAAACCACAAACCTTCGGATTCACAGTTTGAGTATGCTAATGACTGGTCACGCCCGACCAGATGATACAATAAAATACTTTATTTTGTTTTCCATTACCAAAGTTTCAACATGTGCCATGTAAGGATTAACAGTTAAGGCACTAAAAACACTAAATTTTGTTACTTTTAATTTTCCGAATTAGACAGACACCATAATTTGAAGAAACAATTAGCTCATCATCCTCAATGAAATACCAGTAACACCTATGAAACAAACACTATAAATTACATATATATGTTGTAAGTAAAATTTATTACTAAAAAAATAAGCATTCTTATTGCGTTGGTCTAACCAGAAAAATGGTAAAGCCTTCTTTCCAACAGATTAACCAATACACTATCAACAATTTTTCATTTTTGGTAACACCTTCTCGATATTATATTTTCCAGCTAATTGACAAAACCTTTTCGATATTAGTCTAAAAGCTTGATAATAGTGTAAAAGCTAATACGTAGCAATACCTTCTTGATAGTAGTGTAAAGCTGTTGTTGTTTAAGTTAAGCACAAAGCTACACAATGGGCTATCTGTACTCTGCCCACCACGAGTATCGAAACCCGGTTTCTAGCATTGTAAGTTCGCAGACATACCGCTGTGCCACTGGGGGGCAGTGTAAAGCTCATACGTAACAAAATTTTCTTTATAGTAGTCTAAAAGCTAACATGTAACAATACCTTCTTGATAGTAGCGTAAAAGCTAACATGTATGAACACCTTAATAGTAGTGTAAAAGCTAATGTGTAACAATACCTTTCCAACAACGGTTTCTCATTATTAATTTAAACCAACTAACTGGCAACACCTTCTCTATGTTAATATCACCAGTAAATTGGTAACACCTTCTTGATGTTAATCTAACCAATTAATTGGTAACTCCTTATCATTTTTCTAATAGCTAATTGGCAACACTTTCTCTATAATAATATAACCGGGCAATTGGTAACACCTCAATATTAATATAATCAGTTAATATTCAACTAGTTAATATAACTAGTTAATTAGAAAACACATTTTTTCGGTAATAATCTAGCCAGCACAATGGCAATACCTTTTCGGTATTAATCTAATCAGCTAACTGGCAGCATCTTTTCGCATTAGTCTTACCAGGATAATGGCAACACATTATTTTATAAAGCTTATTCCCATATCAGCACCACCCTGTCTGAACTAGACTGACCAGCACTAGAAGAACAAGCCATGTTGACACAATCAGTACATTGATAACACCTTATTGGAATAGTATAATCAGTACATTGATAACATTTTACTGGAATAGCACAATCAGTACATTGATAGCACCTTATTGGAATACTATAATCAGCACATTGATAACATTTTACTGGAATAGCACAATCAGTACATTGATAGTACCTTATTGGAATGGTATAATCAGTACATTGATAACACCTTATTATAATTTGTACAATCAGTACATTTATAACACCTTACTGGAATGGTATTATCAGTACAGTGATAAAACCTTATTGAAATGGTACAATCAATACATTGATAGCACCTTACTAGAATGGTACAATCAGTACATTAATAACACCTATTTGGAAAGGTACAATCAGTACATTGATAACACCTACTGGAAACATCTTTTTTTGCACTAGGATTAACAACAAGAATACAACATTTTTGGAGTCACTTAGCAACATATAAGTGACATTTGTCAGCCAAGATTCCTACTTTATTTTTCAGTTTTATAACCAAACATAACTTACACTGTCTTTCTGGGAAGAGTCTGGAGACAGCGTAGAAGCTGTCTTCATATGAAGATGCTGCATCATGGCTTGAAGTCGTTCCTTTTCTTTGGTCAGTTGAATCTCCAACTGAGATACGACCTGAAGTTGAACTCGGGCCTGTGCAGTGCTTCGATCATCTAGTTGGTGTTCAGAATTCAAGTGCCTATCGATATAAAAGATGTTTAATTATTCGGAGCTTGGAAAGTATTGTTCTTTTAAAAACTGTACAATATTTATCAGGGCGCCTTCCTTAAAATCGCAGGTTTATATAAAGCTTAATTTCTCATACTCAAAGAAGTCCATTTTTTTTTCATTCTTCTGCTTAAAACTGACAATTACGAACAGATGATTATAAGCCCTTCCTTTGTAGTTATACCATTTATGAACAGATATTTCTAAGCCCTGCCTTTGTAGTTATACGAGTTACGAACAGATGCTTCTAAGCCCTTCCTTTGTAGTTATACCAAATACGAACAGATTCTTCTAAGCCCTGCCTTTGTAGTTATACCAGTTACGAACAGATGCTTCTAAGCCCTTCCTTTGTAGTTATACCAAATACGAACAGATTCTTCTAAGCCCTTCCTCTGTAGTTATACCATTTACGAACAGATGCTTCTAAGCCCTTCCTTTGTGGTTATACCAATTACGAACAGATTCTTCTAAGACCTTCCTTTGTAGTTATACCAATTACGAACAGATGCTTCTAAGCTCTTCCTTTGGAGTTATACCAATTACGAACAGATTTTTCTAAGCCCTTCCTTTGTAGTTATACCAATTACGAACAGATGCTTCTAAGCCCTTCCTTTGTAGTTATACCAATTACGAACAGATTCTTCTAAGCTCTTCCTTTGTAGTTATACCAATTACGAACAGATTCTTCTAAGCCCTTCCTTTGTAGTTATACCAATTACGAACAGATACTTCTAAGCTCTTCCTTTGGAGTTATACCTGTAGTGAGTGGTGTTTAATCAAAGGAAATACTTAACTTTTTCATTATTAATGTGCCGTATGACTTGTTTATCGCAACCTGAAAAATTAAAGTTACCTACGATGGTTCCTAAGTCTTCTTCAATATTTGTAAAAGTATGTACTTTTTAATATAAAAGTGAATTTATGAAGGGAAATCTTGGCACTATGAATGCATTATGACAAACTCCGACGAAAAATTCAGTATTTCATTTCCCATAGAAAAATGTTTATTGTGTGTAAAAAAACAACAAAAAAAACAAGATCTTATTTCAAAGTAAAACTATAATTTGTAATTCAATATGAATTCATGTACATTGTAAAACGTACTTAAGAAATTCTTGGTAGTCATCATAGGCAGCCTCGCAACCAGGCCACTTGCAGACACCGTGTCCATACAAAGCGTGGTTTTTCTGAATTCCGTCATCCTTTGGAGAAGCGGTGGGGCTGCGCTGACCAGTAAGAGGAGTGGACGATGCCGATTCTGTTCCCGAATTATTATTCTGGCCGTTTAAGAAATGATGGGCGTTGGTGTTGGACAGTGGCGACATGGCTAAAGAGTTTGGCTGAAGCAAGCCATTGAAACAGTCCTTCAATATTCCAACATCGACACCAGAGGCACCATCTTTCCACGCCGTCTGTAGGTCATTGGACGTAAGGCCTAATGTAAGAGGAATAGGGAAGTACATGAAAAAAACAACTTTACTTGTTAAACAGTTAACACTAATGCAAGAGTAATTTAGCGGCATGATCAAAGTAGTTTGTTCAACACATGTTACTTTGATTACATGAAGCCATTTAGTGGGTTTTCATTGGTCACAAGACGTTGTCAGGGAGGATTGTGGACAGTTTTCTTTAAACACGTTGATACTTGTTCAATGAACTTTAAATTCAAGAAAGCACTTGAAGCTAACACTTAGTGTTTGTGTGCTTTGTATGTGTGGTATACTATATTATTTCTTTAATGTTGCTTTCACTAGTGGTAGTGGTTATAATATTTTATACATCTAGTTTTAATATCTATAATCTTCTATTATTATGCTTTTATTTGTTCTTAAGCGCAAAGTTATGCAATGGGCTATCTGCTTTCTGCCCATCGCGGTATCGAAACCCTATGTTAGCATTACAAGCCCTTGTACTTATTGCTAAGCCATCTGGGGGTGGGGTACTTTTATATAAAAACAGTTTTGTATTGTTAGTTTAGTATGTGGATTACGGACGACTAGCCTAAGTCTTCTAAGTTGGCTTAACCTTGTGAGATATTATTGGGTTTATGGTAAAAAATATCGTTAATAGCGATGGCACCCACATTTCATTCTAATCTTAATAATTAACAAAGTAAGAATATCATACTTAATTAGCTATACTCATTACCTGGTTGATTTTTAGTTTTGATCTATGTTGGTAACTTGCTCTGCCCGGTAGTTAATATTAAGTATTTTACAGTTGGTCCCCAATACACATCTAAAGCTTCAATCGTTACGATTCAAAATAAAAAGTGTTAAACATCGATAAAGAAGTCAAAATATGAAATAACATTTTAGTGTTTTAATGACATTGTAATAGAAAAACACTTTAGTAACACACTAAAAAACTCTTTCTTCGACAAAACACCTTGGCCTTTATACGAGATTAATTATAGTTAAGGTAAAAGATCAAACTCAATATTAGCGTTAGTCCAAGCTACGCCGTTTGAGTGAATGACAAGTTTTTCTACAGTTATTTACAAAACGTTTGATCTCACGATATAAAGAACAAAGTCGATTCTTACCTTGAGGCCAGAGAACTGGCGGTAGGCCTAACAAGTACTGTCTCTGTGACATCTGTAAATGTTGCATCAACTGTTGCTGCTGCAGAACAAGCTGTTGAAGTTGCATTTGTAATTGGTGTTTGCTGTTTTTTGCTTTGTCTCCAACACTGTTGGTGTTCAAATTGTTTAGCTGCTGGAGAATTTGACCTTGTTGGAGCATATTAAACTGTAACTGTTCTTGGAGGTGAGGAATAACTGATTCCAGTTGTTTCATTTGTTGATGTTGGTGTTGATCCTGGTGCTAGGTGACAGAGAGTAGAAATATAGACACCGCTAACGAATATTCAAAATTTTAATCAATAAACAAAGTAGAGAGTAAAGACTCCAAGTGTTTCAGTCATTCTTGAGTTATCTTATTGATGTTTAAAAAGACCTAAAATACCGGTAATCAATTATGATTTTCAGCCCTTCTTTGATTAGAGTTGAAAGGTTTGTTTGCTGTTAAACGCAAAGCTGCACTATGGTCTATCTGTGCTCTGCCAACCACGAGGATCGAAACCCAATTTTTTAAGCCTGCCTACTTACCGCTAAGCCACTGAGGGGCAAATTGGAAGGAAGACCAACTATTATTAAAGAGAGAATACTAATAATACTTCCTACATTATAGAATACACAGCATTTGTCGTAAGTGTAATACTTCCTATATTATAGAATACACACTATTTGTCTTAAGTTTAATACTTCCTACATTATACAATACACACTATTTGTCGTAAGTTTAATACTTCCTATATTATAGAATACACACTATTTGTCGTAAGTTTAATACTTCCTATATTATACAATACACACTATTTGTCGTAAGTTTAATACTTCCTATATTATACAATACACACTATTTGTCGTAAGTTTAATACTTCCTATATTATACAATACACACTATTTGTCGTAAGTTTAATACTTCCTATATTATAGAATAAACACTATTTGCAGTAGCTTTAATACTTCCTATATTATACAATACACACTATTTGTCGTAAGTTAAACTCACATATATAAATTTCATTGTGTATCGTAAACATATTAAGTTATTCAAACACCCATACATCTATTAAAAATGAAATAATTGATCTATTCATTATTTTTCTTTTGTATTCACTCGTGTTTCAAATTAGTTCTACCCCCTTTTAATTACTAATTTTATATTTTTCGTTAGACCTGACCTTAAATCTCGAAAGACGTAAATAATTACAACTATTTCTAGCAAGATTAATCTTCATTAACGTTACTTTCAATTATCTTCAATTACATTAAAAAATAGCAAAAACTATTATATTCAAGGATTTTTTACTGCATTCAGCAATATTATTTATTTCATAAAACAACACAATGTCTTCTAGCTTTCAATATAAGTACTGCGTTTCAACTTTGAATAAATGAAACCTGGTTCAAACTAAACTCAACGTAAAATTAAGACAATGGTCAAACTTTACCAGGCTTCCAAACAATTTCACATTCACTTCGCGGTGAATAAAATTTAATGCAAATAATATATCGTTCACTAGTGTACCTTCACGCAAAAAAATGTATTTCGATCAACTAAGTATAGCTATACTGATTCAAAAATTGAAAAACGTTTGTGGACCAGTCTGGAAAATTTGTTATTTAAAAGAACTTTTCAAAAGAAAAAAATTAAGAAGCAACTCAAGTTTAACACTGAATGAACAATTTAACAGTCCAAGATTTAAATATTGAACAACCTATTAACAAATGAATTAAAACGTAACAGGCACTCAGCAACAAGCTTTCTAAAGCATTAATTAGATATTATTCTATAAAATTAAAAGTAGGTATCATCAGGTGAATTTTTGTCACCTTCTCTTTTACTGGTGATTACAGAACTGTGAACAATGATTTGTTTGTTTGTAATTAAGTACAAAGCTACACGCCTTATCTTTTACTGGTTTGTTTGTTTGTAATTAAGTACAAAGCTACACGCCTTATCTTTTACTGGTGATTACAGAACTGTGAAAGCTACACGCCTTATCTTTTACTGCTGATTCACGGAACTGTGAACAACGATTTGTTTGTTTGTAATTCTTTGTACTTAATTACAAACAAACAAATCATTGTTCACAGTTCCGTAATCAGCAGTAAAAGATAAGGTGTGTAGCTTTGTACTTATACACAGAGGGCTATCTGTGCTCTGCCAATCACGGGTATCGAAACCCGGTTTCTAGCGTTGTAAATCGGCAGAAATGCTGCTGTGCCACTGGATGGCACGAACAACGAAACAAAAGGTATTTATGGAATTTTGATCATGAAATTAATGTAATAACAGAATATACAATATTTATCTAGGTGGTTCAAAATTTCTCGTAGAGTTTTTGTTTCTTGTATGTTTTAGCGGAAAGCTGCCCAGTGGGCTACTTACGCTGTGCTATCCCTTATACGCCCTTAAGCTAATCGCTGAGCGATTGGGGACCTTGCAATTGGTTATTAGGATTCTCAAGAAGTCTAGAAAATTGCTTAAATTTCAGAGAAACTCAAAAATCTAAGGAAATAAATTTTCGTTGTTGTTTGTCAGATTTCGCGCAAAGCTCCTCGAGGGCTATCTGCACTAGCCATTCTAATTTTGAAGTCAGATATGGCAGCTGGTCAACACCATTCACGCAAACACGTGGGCACAATACAATAACTGTACAAAATTTCAATTTCTTAATCAGGTGTGTTAATTTAGAGGGAAATTTCGAATATTTAGGAACCTATTTTAGTGTAAATGGTATAGTGAACATCAGTTATACGTGAAAAAGGAAGGGTTTTAAAACTGATGAAAATGTAATACTTCACTATTGGTCACTAACATGTTTTTAACATTCTAGTTCACATGTTTGCTCAAATCTTTGACAAATTCTAAGGAATACTACAAAAAAATAAATTTTTTTTTTCAAAAAAATGAGGGTATGAAAGTATAGAAACTGTTAAATCTTTAAATGTATTATTTATATGTCCTACAGAGTGAACAAAATTTTATAAATATTTCATTAGAGATTTGAAATTAATTATATAAAATTAATAATAGTTTTAAAATTTATATAAACAAAAATATTTATTTATTTTGCAGCTGAGGTAAACTATTATGAGACATATACAGTTACATTAAGACAACAGCTGTTTGCTAAAAAAAAAGCAAGTAGCAATCTTTGTAAAATACAGACTTAATATTGTTAGCATCATTTATATCTATGCTTTATCTAATAAAGCCAATATATTAAATATACAGCTTTTATAGAACAATATAGTACTATAACTTATGAGTTGACTGATTTGATGTTGAAGAAATTGTGCATTAAGAAGAAAGAAAGTTCTTAGTTACGTTATTGTGAGTTACTGATAGTTTTAGTATAAAGGATTAAGAGCACTTATTCAAGTGTAAGGCCATAGATATAAAGTGGACAATGTTCTTAATAAGAGAATAGAAAATTTCTCCGTGTTATTTATGAGACCAGATTACAGTCTTTCCTATTCAAAAATGTCATCATCTTACTTCTATTAATATTTTGCTTTAAAAAGGAGGGATTTATGATATTTGTATTTTTACTACCGATGCCCAGAAAATATCGCTAAGGAAATATTATACTGAATAGTAATAACACTTCTAAACATGCATTACATAATAATTTCCGGTGAAAACGTGCACTCGAATAGCCGAACAAAACATAATTACTTGGTAGGTCGTGTTTTCATTAGAACAAAACATAATTACTTGGTAGGTCGTGTTTTCATTAGTTTCAAATTTGGTGCTTCATAAAATGTATTACTTTTCACATGAAAGAAAAATGTGATTAACAACTAAACCTTTTTTCCATCTTGTGAATTTCAAATTATTCTCTAGAACGAACACAGAATAGTAGTGGTTCGCCATTTTTTGTTACTAAATGCCATTTTTGGCATCTTGAAAGAACTAATGGGTGATAATTGATGTGTAGGATGGGGCAAAAAATTACTAAACAGCTGATACTATAAGTGTGGTAAAGTTGATATAATACAAACCGTATTTAGTTATTGTTTCTTTCAGTTCATTAATAGGTAAAAATTAGAAAATGTTCTAAATGAAACAACTGTACAGGCACTTTGGTCCATCCTATATATAGACACACTCAGAGGTTGAGTACGTTATATTCAAATGATTTTGAAGCCTCACCACGTCGTTATTGTCCATGTCACCACGTCCTATTATGACGACCACCACGACTCTTGACCCAGGAGTTGCTGCCAATGTTATTATTGCAAAATTGGGTCTGGCATGGCCTGGTGGTTAGGGCACCCGATTCGCAATCTGTGAGTAACAGATTTGAATCCAGTCACCAAACAAGCTCGCCCTTTCAGCCGTTGGGGAGCGTTATAATAAGACATTCAATCCCAAGAGTTGGCGTTCGATGGTGTTCACTAGCTGCCTTTCCCCAAGTCTATCACTTTTGGATTAATGACGGCTAGTACAGGTAGCCCTCAAGTACCTTTGCGCGAAATTAAACAAACAAACAAAGAAACTATTGCAAATAAAAAAAAGACTGTATCATAGGGCTGCCATGTCCAAAGCCAAACACCCCTCCCTACTTGATTTACACAATCTATACAGTGTACGAGGACGAGGTTTCTCAGCGCCCTTTTCAACAGTTTGATTGCACAGAAGTCTCTGCGTCCGGTGAGTTGATCGGTATATTTTCTTTTGGAGTATCAGGTATAGCCGTTTCATTCTCCGGCTGCTTGAGGTATGGAATGGTAGAACCGATATGTCCTGTAAGCAACTTGTGTGCACGTGACTTGTGTCGCTTTCCAGGTGGAGATCCTTCTTGATTATGTTTTGTACTGTTGATTGGGACACATGGATGGCATTTACAACTGACCTTTGTGTTCGTGGACTCTCACCAGTTACAAGACATTGCAGTTTGCTTACCACGCCTGAAGTACGACATTTTCTCGAAGGTCCTGGTACCCAAGTTGATCCATATTTCTTTGTTTTCCAGTGCCATTAAGTTAAAAGGATATTCTCGTTTTGGAAGTTCGAAATTTCTGATCTGAACACATCTTTATAATTTGAATGTATAAATATCTTACATCGGAAAGGGCTATTACATACCCTTTCAAAAGCGAACAATCTTCGGAGGCATCACTCTACCTAATTAACATAAAAATGTCAAATGTAGTTCAGATACATTCCTTTCCACCGCGACTTTATATGGGCTGTAATAGTCATGTGACTTGCTGATTTGCATATTCAAAATAATTTTAATATAGTGTACCAAACCTCTATATATTATGTTTCCACCAAATCTTTATAATGATATTTTGTGACATACGCGTCCCCTGGTAGCAAGTCAAAATATTACTAAAATATAAAGTAAAATCGTTAGGGCCAAGAACTCAACTGTTCGCAACAAGCCTCATCGGTCAATCAATCCCAGTTTCCGTAAACCATTCACACGATGCACAATTCTTTATAATGATATTTTGTGTTATCCGCTCTTTGTGGTAACAGCCCTATATATTACTAAAATGTAAACTAAAATATTTAGGGTCAAGAACTGAACAAGCTATATTGGCCGATCAAGCACTGAAAAAACAAACAATGTTTACTAGAATTGGGATTTTTGTTTTTCAAGTTTGATTCGTTGATTCTTCATTGAGTTAACGTATTAATTTTTTTATCAATCTATGGCGAATGCGTCCTTCAGTGGCAGCTATTTGAATGTAAGTTGTGGACATTGGTGGATGAATAACTGGTTGACAAGTAAACATATTTTTGTAAAATATTGTTGTGTTACGATAAATAAGTAAACATATTTGGTAATCAAACATATTTTTGAAAATTGTTTGCATTATGTAAATTAAAAGGAAAAATTCACACTGTTAGAAAAATAAAGGCCGGAGCCATGCAATTAATGTTCGTTTTGTCCTAAAATGAAAACAGGACACAATAAGAGAAAATCAAAATTACAACTCTCTACTCCTTCTATTCACCCGTTTTATGCACATTATTTCAGAAAGATTATTTTTTTATCCATCTCCCACTTTTTCTAATTTTTAGTACATTGCTAACCACATACCCGCTATGAACAACAAATCATAAATCAATTTATCTACTTTTGTACTGAATTAGCGTAGTACATACTACATTAATGATGTATGTTGAGTAAGTATCTTTGACATTACAGATGCTAAAAATACATTCTTTCATAATCTATAAAGAAGAAAGTAATCTCTCACACTGTTCCACATACTTGAAACTCCCCATTAGAACCGGTATCAATACAACATAGAACAGAGAAATCTCTCACACTGTTCCACATACTTGAAACTCCCCATTAGAACCGGTATCAATACAACATAGAACAGAGAAATCTCTCACATTGTTCCACATACTTGAAACTCCCCATTAGAACCGGTTTCAATACAACATAGAACAGAGAAATCTCTCACAATGTTTCACATACTTGAAACGCCCCATTAGAACCGGTACTAATACAACATAGAAATCTCCCACCCTGTTTCACGTACTTGAACCCCCCCCCCCCCCCATTAGAACTGGTTCCAATACATATGACACGTTTAAGATAAAGAACTAGAAATGGGTTAAGTTAATTAGTTTACAACCTTCTTCACTCAACTCATTATTCCGGAACGTTATATGTAAAAATTTTGCTTCATGTCTTCCTTTAATAGAAGAAAAGTACCATCATTACCCAGAATTAATAATGTAATTGAGAAGTAATATTCCTATAACTCCACACTAGAATCCGCTCAATTTAGAAATTGAAAAAGTTACATATATACCGTACAATAACTGAAGGAAAACTATAGCTACCATTTCCTTGATGCATTAACGTTTCAGGCTTAACGCTAAAGTTAGTATACAAACCAGAAAGAATCATAAAACTGCATCACACACACGTATAATAATGTATATTGCTACTAGGATAATTATATTGTTATGGATATTTGATAAATGTAAGCATATGAAATAAATAAACTAGACGCACTTTCACAGGGTCACCGAAAATGTTGTTTCAAGAGTAAATAAAACCAAAATTAAGAGTAACAAATATTTTTATTTCTTGCTTTTCAAGTTCATATGTCATGCCGTGTTGTAGCCTACAGAGTGCATAATACTTTTCGTGCGCACGTTCTACTGATGTCACGGCAGTACAAATTGCAACTTTAAGCGTCCTTTACGTGATGTCATTTTACTGTCTACTGACTGACTGACAGACAACACACTACTGTATAGTGGTGAAAGCGGTTAAAACATGTGAACCTTCCGGGCGGCCTTCGGCCCCCTTTCTGGGGAAATTAGATTGCCCGTCATTGTTTGATAGAATTAAAAACAATACTGATAACATTTATAAATAAAATACTGACAAAGAAGATATAGCTGAACAATAAAATCAATTTGCAAACAAAGCAAACTACTTGCTTAGAAGAAAACTAAAGTTCAACCTGGAAATCAATATTAGACCCAATAAGAAAAAAAATCTCAGCAATATTCAGCTGAAATTTTAGAAATATTTTCTTTAACTGACCTTAAATCCAAAAAGGGCCATTAGAAACAAAAACAAGAACTATGATTAAATAGTACAAAGACTGACTCATTGTATGATACAGCAGAATCTCTTATAATTCTTAGATAAAACAGTTTTTTGTTGATAAAGGTATCCGTTGTTTGCTCAAAATAAAACGAAACATTCTTGCAGTCGTCATCATTGAAAATTATAAAAGTTGTCAATTTCAACATTTTCCTGAAATCTTTCGTAGACCCTTCGTTACAAGCTTGGTCGTTGTACATCAACAAGTTGATGATCTTGTCTGTAAGATGTTACATTAATTATCGGTACAATGAATGAGGTTAGTGGGCTATATTCAATATGTAGATGACGTAATTGAACAATACAAAATTAATTTCTTCCTAGACAGTTTCGTGATGGTCACCACATACATACTGTATACCGTGATCCATTACAGATAAAGGCAGATTCGACTTTCACTGCGGGAAATATAACAACAGAATGCTAGAAATGACGATTCTTACCTGCTGTTGCAGGAAAAGGGACTGTTGTTGCTGCAGCAGCTGCTGTAGTTGACCTGGCGAAAGAAGTTGTTGCTGAAGCAGCTGCTGCATTTGATGTTGGGCCAGCAGCTGCGAATTCATCATCAACAGTGGAGATACGTGATCCCCGTTTTCTTCTACGCTATCGGAAGTTTGTTTCTTGGTTTTTTCAACTTCTTGAGTCCTTGGATGCTAATGGAATTAAATAAGGGTTTTATTTTTATTATACACAGAATTATCAGAAGGTCACTCACTACTCACAACTGATTGGCCCCTTAATGAAAGCTCTCTAACAGGTGGAGGTGACATGCCATTACAGGTAAATGCACGATATAAACACACACTATATAGTTTGAAAAACAAATGTTTAGCATTTCGACTTAATGCGTTGTAAAACACAATGATACGAATTAATCAGGCCCGACATGCCAGGTGGTTAGGGGGCGCTCGACTCGCAATCTGAGGGTCGCGGTTTCGAATCCCTGTCCCGCCAAATCTACTTTCAGACGTGAGGGCGTTATAAGTGACGGTCAATCCCACTATTTGTTGGTAAAAGAGTAGCCAAAAAGTTGGCGGTGGGTGGTGATGACTAGCTGCCTTCCCTCTAGTTTTACACTGTTAAATTAGGGACGGCTGCGCAGATAACCCTCATGTAACTTTACGCAAAATTCAAAAACAAACAAAAAAATTAATTTGATGTTTGTTTGTTTCGGATGTTCGCGCAAAGCTACACAAGAACTATATAAGATAGCCGTTCGTAATTTTGGTATGAGAGACTAGAGGGAAGGCGGATAGTCAACAACACCCAACATCAGCTCTTGGACTACAACTATAATCAAATATTTGGATTTGAATGTCAGTCTTATAATATACCCACGGCCACAATAATTGGACGCGAACGATAGACTCTCGAATTCGGCCACGCTAACAATAGACCACGGAAAAATAAATTAGTTTCACATCGCCTTCATTTTACAACATAAAAAAAAACTTTTTTGTGAGATTTTATTTTGAAGTTAATGCGTAATCGCTAAACCAAAACCCATCAAATGAAGAATAATACATAACTTTGTGGTAGAAATGTATTAATACTTAACGAGTTTCGACCCATAGAAGTAAGTCGTCATCATCATCAGGTTCAATTCGATTACAATTGGGAGCCTCACTTTAAAATTATAATTAACATACCCATAACACGTATCGTGTGTAACCTATTTGAAAACAGCGGTATTAAACACAAAATGGGGGACTCTTCGCCATAATAATACAAGTATAAGAAAATGTTGAATATGAATAGTGGCCGAGCTGAAATCTCTGAAGTACATGATACGTGTAAGTAATTGGTGTTAGTGGCCGAACTGAAATCTCTGAAGTACATGATACGTGTAAATAATTGGTGTTAGTGGCCGAACTGAAATCTCTGAAGTACATGATACGTGTAAGTAATTGGTGTTAGTGGCCGAGCTGAAATCTCTAAAGTACATAATACGTGTAAATAATTAATGTTAGTGGCCGAGCTGAAATCTCTGAAGTACATGATACGTGTAAGTAATTGGTGTTAGTGGCCGAACTGATATCTCTGAAGTACATGATACGTGTAAATAATTGGTGTTAGTGGCCGAGCTGAAATCTCTGAAGTACATGATACGTGTAAATAATTGGTGTTGTTTGCCTCCACGAGAACAGCGACTTAAGTTAAAAAACTGGTGCTAATTCTTTAAACCTGGTTTCCTCATCGACTGCTTACCTCGTATATATTATATTATTTTACTAAGGGTGGTGGTGTTCGATCAAGTTCTGTAAAAAGTCGGGATAGGTTTCAATATCAGGCATGAATTATAAACAAAACGTAGGCATGTGACAAAGGATGTTCTTTCTAGGTGACATTTTTTAAATTCATACACATGCGTAGATATGTGTGTGTGTGTGTTTTATAGTGTAGCAGGTAACCTTTGGAGTAAAACAGCCTTTACAAGGGGAGTACATCTTCCCTCTAAGAAACAAAGATGTGTATTTTTATAGTGGAAGAATAAATGAGTTAGCGAATACATATAAACAACATAAGCTAGACAGTATATTACCAGTATAAATGAGTTAGCGAGTACATATAAATAACATAAGTTAGATAGTGTATTACCAACATAAATGAGTTAATCAGTATATAAACAACATAAAGGAGTTAGCCGGTATATTAACAACATAAAGGAGTTAGCCGGTATATTAACAACATAAATGAGTTAGCCGGTATATTAACAACATAAAGGAGTTTGCTGGCATATTAACAACATATAGAAGTTAGCCGGTATATAAACAACATAAAGGAGTTAGCCGGTATATTAACAACATAAAGGAGTTAGCCAGTATATTAACAAAATATAGAAGTTAGCCAGCATTTTAACAATATAGAGGAGTTAGCCAGCATATTAACAACATAAAAGAGTTAGCCAGCATATTAAGAACATAAAAGAGTTAGCCAATATATAAACAACATAAATGAGTGAGTCGGTATATAAACAACAGACATTCATCAAAAATAAAGGCGTGGCTTTTAAACAGAAGTCAAACTTATAGCTATTTCACATATAAATGTGTGTGTGGGGGGGGGGGAGGGTATCTGTTAATTGGAAGAGAATGCCAGAGTGAAAATGTCTGTTTTAACAACTGAAAATTAATTGAGCTGACGACCTATATGTGCAGACTAAAAAATGTTAATCGGGAACTCATTCCACAAGTAGAGGCGTGGCTGTTGAAAAAAATATATTATTGTTCTTTCCTCGATAGAGATTTCTTTCAAGGTAAATAAAGTAAAACAGTAAAAAAGGGACAGTACGTTATAATTACGTCGAAAACGAATAAAATCAACAAAGAATGGGCGGGGATAAAAAAATACAAATGGTATATAAATACAGTGTACACCTCTCAGAATTAATTGATTTGAATGAATGATTTATCGTTATAAAGGAAGGCAGAAGTATGTATAACCCTTATGTAGTTTAGAGAGTTTTTACTTGCAGAAATAAATAAATATATCACAAACTGTCTACAAGAAAAAATACGTATTGTGGTAAAATAACTATTAAAATTGAAAGATAAAATATTCCTGTAACTTAGTTGAAGCTTGTGAATATTCCAAGAAAATGCTAATTTAAAGTTATCATAAATATATTGTAGAGTTTAATCAGAAGAGTAATTTTTACAAATACGTAAGCCTTAAGTGACAAATGTTCAGTTTAGTAAGTTTATTGTTATAAACTTCTGATAAAAAAATACACAGTATTAACTTGTAACACAGAGACAATAGAACCAAATGATATAATTATAAAACAATTGTTTTAATTACTTCTGAGTATATGGTGGATAAATTAAATATCAAGAAGATTTAATGCACTGCTTAAATGTTAAAATGAAACATATAATTACACTTACATACTGCTACGATATTTAAGATAGACATTTGTTTCGTGTAGATAAGGGGAAATATAGCCATCATGGTTATATTTAAATGTTTATATTTAAATGTTAAAATGAAACATATAATTACACTTACATACTGCTACGATATTTAAGATAGACATTTGTTTCGTGTAGATAAGGGGAAATATAGCCATCATGGTTATTCTCATAAACAGTACACGCAACAATCCACTAGTGGTTATATAGTTTTTATGAAGAATTTATAGAATTAACCACTTGGTCATCTCAAGATATTTGAAATACACGAAACACTCGAGAAAACTTGTCGAACAAGTAGTTATCTACTTAATATTTAGCATTAACACGAGTAGGACTGTTGATGTTGCGCACAAAATCACATTTCGAGTAACTACATAGAACCGCCATGTTCTTAACTGATTACAGCACGCGCCCCTGTCAGTTCTGAGAACAGGTTATGTAGCGTAATTCACCACTGACTAAAACGATTTATAAACAAAATGAAAATTATTTTACGTAGAGAATATATTATATGTTTCTCATACAGGTACTTGAAGAAGGCAGACCAATGTTCTGTTGAAACGTGTAGTACGTTATATTCATAAAATAATTTAAATTTTTGCTTATAAATCGTTGTTTGTCAATTTAATTATTGTATTACCATAGTGTGATCCCTACACACTGAAAAGTGGTTATTTAGTGCAATTCACTCCATGGTTAACAAGGTATCTAACTACAACATCCTCTGAAGCTGTTAACAAAATACTACAACATACTCTGAAGCTGTTAACAAAATACTACAACATACTCTGAAGCTGTTAACAAGGTACTACAACCTACTCTGAAGCTGTTAACAAGGTATCTAACTATAACCTACTCTGAAGCTGTTAACAAGGTATCTAACTACAACATACTCTGAAGCTGTTAACAAGGTAATACAACCTACTCTGAAGCTGTTAACAAGGTACTACAACCTACTCTGAAGCTGTTAACAAGGTACTACAACCTACTCTGAAGCTATTAACAAGGTATCTAACTACAACATACTCTGAAGCTGTTAACAAGGTACTACAACCTACTCTGAAGCTATTAACAAGGTATCTAACTACAACATACTCTGAAGCTGTTAACAAGGTACTACAACATACTCTGAAGCTGTTAACAAGGTACTACAACCTACTCTGAAGCTGTTAACAAGGTATCTAACTACAACATACTCTTAAGCAGGTAATGACGTCTCTGTAGGTGTGACAGTGCGAATAAAATTGTGATGTACCTATACTATTGGTATAAGCGTAAGCTTAATGTTTTTGATGTATGAAAAAAAAAGTTATAAGGTAATAAACACTCAGCAGCTTGCAGTCCAGTTTGGATTAAAGAGGGTAAAGGTTATAACCTTGAAAGTCCCAAAGTCTTAACTATAAGCTTGGTGCATCTAGCTACTTGTATATTTTCAACTCCGAAAATGAACGTTCACAGAATCTTCATGAATTTCAGTTATGACTAATATGAAAGCCTATGGCATGACGAAGACTTTCACTTCTGTTCACTAAATTTCGATCGCTTACCCTTAACATATGGGGCCTCGACTCACACCCCATCACCGAACATGCCCACCCTTTCAGCGTTATAATGTGAAGCTCAATCTCATTATTTGTTGTTAAAGAGTAGCCCAAGAGTTGGTGGGTGGTATTGACTAGCTGCCTTCCCTCTAGTCTATTATACTTAAATTAGGGACGGCCAGCGCAGATAGCCCTCGA